TGTAGTTTTCAATCACACATCATATATGTTTGGTGAATAACCTGTGTATCGTCTCTTTGCATGTGACCCCTGGTCAGTTTTCTTGTGTAGAGACTTAGGTGGATGGATATCTGCTTGAAGTAAAGAAAGGGGTTGAATCAGAATTGAGAAGTTTGTTTTTAGGGTTCTCAGCTCTTCATCTTCTTCCAATATTCTTTTTTAAAGAATATTGCTCTTTGCTTTTTTCCTACCTCCCTTCAAAATTTTTTGACTGGAAAACATTTCTCAGATGTATTAAATAAGGCTTTCGATCTGTGTTTAGGGGTGTCTAACCAGTTGTTTTGAGTAGATGTCACAAAGTTGAAGAGCTACAAAGAGCTATCAAATAAAAATTCAGGAGAGCAGTAATGTAAACATTCCTAAGACAGAATTGTATAGATATTCAAGACATACAGTGAGTTACATTGTAAACATTTAAGAGCTGCAGAGGGCCATAATGTAAAGTGCCCTCCCCCGACCCTTCAGGCTCTCTCCCATCCTTTCTCTCTCTAGAGGGAATAGAGTAGCCGTTTCTTATGAAATTTTCCAGAACCATTTTATACCCAGTTTGTAATCAGCCCCAGGTGCTGGGACGTCTAGGAGAGCGTAGGTTCTAATCAGTTGAAGCTTGGGAAAGGCCACTGATAGCTACACTTCACGTTTCTGTGACGGGCACATGCTCTGGATGAATCGGGGCAGCAGTGTTCTTTGCTGAGATTAAAAATCCTGTAACAGCTGGGCATGGTGGTGCATGCCTGTAATCTTGGAGGAGGCTGAGACAGGAAGATCACAAATTCAAGCCCAGCATGGGCAATTTAATGACTTTATTTTGAGACAGGATCTCACTAAAAGAAAATAAGGCTTAGGGATGGAGCTCAGTATGAGTGTCGTGGGTTCAATCCCGTTCCAAAAAAAAAAAAAAGAGAAGGACAAATCCGCCTCATCAGAAGCCTACAGCAGTAGGCATTCACGGTGAGTGGAGAGTTGCCAGCATCTGGGAAGAGGAGCAGACCACGCGCTTCTGGCATCTCTCAAGAGCTCACCGGGCTCTTGCTTGTGGCTCGCAGGTGAACAGTCTGCGCGTGGCTGACCCTGTGGAGGCCGTGCGGCAGCTCCAGGACTGCAACGTGTTCATCAAGATCATTAACAGCATGTGAGTACACAGCGCCCTCGCAGCCGCCCTAGGGAAGCCTCTGGGGAGGGTGGGCCCTGTGTTCCTCGCCTCCTGGGTGTCATGGGGATGTTAGAAGCCTGGGTGGCCCAGAGGCCAGCACACATTGACCTCACCCTCTAGTTACTGTCTTCTCGGCAGGGTAGGATTCAGTCTCCTCCCATCCGAAGGCTTCCTCACTTTTGCACCACGGGGCCTCCAGCGCCCCCCATCCTCTTGTCTCCACAGGAGCCTTCTGTTACCTCTTTTCTCAACTCCTTTCTGGTCTTTCTCCTCAGCCCTGTTTGTGCAGCCTCTGGGGCCAGGAGTAAGAAAGGGGGAGCTCTTATGCTTGGAATCATCGAAGTCAAGCTGGCCCTTCCTAAGCCACTACAACATTGCTAGGCATTTTACCTGGCCCTCTACCTTGTCTTGTGAGGTGGATGAGAGCTTGAGGAGCCTGCTGTTGTCTTGCAGCCAGGATTCTAGTTCTGCCTCTTATTTGTTTTTTGTTTTGTTTTGTTTTGTTTTTTGTTTTTTTTCCGGTACCGGGAATGGAGCTCACTACCTCGTGCTTGCCAGGCAGGCGCTGTGCCGCTGAGCTAAATCCCCAGCCCCTCTGCCTCTTATTTGACTTCTGTGTGTTTAGCGCACGTTCCCTTTGCATGTCACTTACCTGTGGAAATCAGGGCAGTCGGATGCCGCCACCTACCACACCTCTCAGGGTCAAAGTGAAGATCAGTCAGGCCAGAAACAATTTTGTTATTTTGTATAGTTTGTCAAATTTCAGGATTGGAAAGGGCAAAGCCGGCTTTCCTCATCTCTTTGTCCCATAGGTAAAATTAGAGGCCAGTCCTAAAATAAAGAGTTAAGGGACTAGTAATAAAGTCTTGTCTTTTTTTCCCCCTCTTCCCCCTCTTCTCCCTCTTCCCCCCTTCCCCCTCTTCCTCCTCTTCTTCCCCTTCTTTGCCTTCTCCTTCCCCACCTTCTCCTTCCTTTTTTTTTGTCTTTTTGAGGCAGGGTCTCGCCATGCAGTTCAGGCTGGCCTTGAGCTCACTTTGTAGCCCAGGCTGATCTTGAACTCACAACGATCCTCCTGCCTCAGCCTCCTGAGTGCTGGGATTACAGATGTGTGCCACCACGCCTGGCCTTTTTTTTTTTTTTTTTTTTTTTTAAAGGAAGACACCGTAGACCCTGTGCCCTGGATAGACTGAAGTGTCAAAGGTGTGTGCCATATATTGCAATTAGAAACAGTGGTGGGGATTCACATCTCTCTGAAGCATTTGATCATTCATTCTTAGGTAGCAACTTGGTGCTAGGAAGGTACTGGAACTGGATATGTCAGAGACAGGGGCTGTGTCTCTTTCCTGTCCCCACCTAGTTTAGGACATTAATTAGGTTTTACTGAGATTTTAGTTTAGTAGGTGAGTGAGTAAAGATGGTGTTGGCTGTCTCTCTCCTCTTTTAATTATTTTTAAATTTTTTTTTTTTTTTTTTTTTTTTGTCTTTTTGAGACAGGGTCTCACTGTGCAGTTCAGGTTGGCCTTGAACTCATTTGTGGCCCAGGCTGGCCTCGAAATTGCACCAACCTCCTGCCTCAGCCTCCCAAGTACTGGGATCACAGGGGTGTGCCGCCACTGCCATTTTTTTTTTCTAGTACACATTTACAGTATGTAATGATTACATTCATCATGGGCAGTTTGTACATGCCCATAATACATTTAATTCTTTTTACATCCACTTCCAGGCTCGGCATTCTCTTATCAGCAAAGTCTAGTAGGGTTGAGTTATTCAGGACAGATGAGTCCAACCCTTGTATATAGTTCGGCTCACCTTAAACTTACCACGAATCTCACAGGCCAGCCTTGAACTCACAGCGATCCTCCTGCCTTGGCTCCCGAGTGCTGGGATTATAGGCGTATGCCAGCTTCTGTTGTCTTTTGAAATGTGTGGTGATAATGGGGTGTCTCACAGGGTTTTTAAAACTTCACGTGGCTGTCACCAGCACCCAGCCTTACGGCTGCTGGAGGGATCACCTTTCTTTCATTCTGGTCCAGACACTGCCATTTCCTTTCTCAGTCGCGAGGCAGGACGTGGCGGCATCACCTTGGATTTCTCCCTCCTTGGTGTCAACTTCTCATAGGTCACTGTCCTCCCCATCTGTGCTGCAGAGACTTTGGCCTCATTCTGACACCAGGCCCTCACGGCCTCGTTCTTCTCTGGTCGGTCCTCCTTCCCATGCATTCCTGTGTGTGTGATCCCGAGAGGCTTTCTCACTGCTTTCATTGTGACACCTCAGTGACTGCTCGGCCCTCAGTTATTCCTCATTAATACTACAATTAAATCTAAAAGCTTTAGCCTGGTGTTCAAGATCTTTTATCTCAGGCTCATTTCCTCACACCAGTCTTGCTTTCTGCTTATCTCTTTCTACCCATTGCCACCTTATCCCATTATTTTGATCCTGTGGAAATTCTTAAATCCTGACTTTTATGCATTACATCATCATGGTGCTGCTTAAATTGTTCTTCTTGTTGCCAATAAGCTGATGATTAGATCTAAGCCCGATTGGTTTAAGGCTTTTCTTTTTCTTTGTTGCAAGAATGCTTCATACATGGGGATGCGTACCACCTATAAATCAGTGATTTGCAAACTCTAATGAGGTGGTAGATCTTAGTGCCTGTCATCAGTGGCTGGTGAAACCATTAGGCTAGCAGTACCTAGCTCACTATTGAATTGTTTTGTTTTGTTTTTGAGATAGTTTCACCATGCAGTTCAGGCTGGCCTTGAACTTGCAGGGGTCCTCCTGCCTCAGCCTCCTGATTGCTGGAATTACAGGCATGTGCCACCATGCCCAGCTCACTATTCAGTTTTAACATCACTAGAAGAGAAGCAGTGGATTCCAGCACTCAGGAGGCTGAGGCAGGAGGATTCCTGCATTCAAAGCCAGCATGGACTACATAGCTAGACCCTGTCTCAAAAACCAAAACTAAATTAAAAGCAAGGCAACCAGATATAATGTGCCTAAGGGCAGCTTGCTTTTTTGACTTCAGAATAGATGAGGAGCTTTTGCTTTTGAAAAGATAAATTACCCTTGGTGTAATGACAAGAAAAAGGATGTATTTTGTGCTTGAGCCACTGTAGGTTAATAACTTGGAGGAACATTTTATAGGGAAAGACAACTGTGCCTGTTTTCCCATTTGTCTTCTAGTGTGCTTCCTAAGCCTTAGACTGGGGTAAGAAACTTAAGTAGGAGCTGTCGAAATCACCACTCAGATTTAAGACAGTGAAGGTTTAGAAAAACAGACCTTCTGGATTAATATATTCTGAGTATTGCATTTTTCTGTTGCTGCTGGTGCTAATCTAAATCAGAAGCCTCATCTTTAAGGAAAAGCAAAGACCATGGCAGGGTTGGTAGCAAGTAGAAGCTGTGGAACTGGAACACTGCTGGTTTCTTTGGGAAAATGCATTGGCATAACTCCTGACAGTTCTCCTCCTCATTCTCCTGTGTGTGAACTGTCTAAAGCAAAAAGTGGTCTCATCTCTGATAGCCGTGAGGCTTGACCAGCAGAGTTGAGCGGAGCCATGTTGCCAGGAAGCCTGAAGCCCTGGCAGTCATCTTGCTGATACTGACCGCTGCTCTTCCCAGTACAAGCCGTCTGCAGCTGCCAGTTGGCTCATCTGTGCTGAGCCTTAGCTTCCATGAGCACAGTTAGGGCACAGTGGGCAGCTGTACGGAGCACCATTGTTTTGGGTACTGCCGGAATAGTGGAGAAGGGCAGTGGAGGTGTGGCCTGCGGTGGTTCTGCGTGGCTTCTGGCCAGATGAGACTGGAATATGGTATTGAGGGTGGCCTGGATTTCTCTAGGACTCAAATTTTCCTTCCAAATCATGTTCCATGTAATTTTACTTTCACCAGAAGTCTGGATGGGCCTGTTATCAAACAGGTTGAGAGAATAATATGTTATATCCTCTTTAGAGAATGTTCCACTTGATATGCAAGGCCTTGGGTTTGATTCCTAATACTGAGAGAGAGAGAAAAGAGAGGAAGAGGAAGGGATGAGTGGTGCACACCTGTAATCTCAGCTGCTATGAAGGCTGAGGCAGGGGGATTCTGGGCTACTTAGACTATCTCAAACATTTAAAAAAGAGAGTGTATAGGGTTAGGGCGGTGATATAGCTCAGTATTAGAGTGTTTAGCTAGCATGTGCAAGGGCCTGGATTCTATCCTTAGAGCTGTCAAAAAGGAAGACAGGCCGGGTGTGGTGACACAGGCCTGTAATCCTGCCACTTGGGAGGCTGAGGCAGAATTGCTGCAAGTTCAAGCCCAGCCTGAACTACATAATGAGACCCTGTCTCTAGAAAGGAGATATGGAGGGAGGGAGGGAAAGAGGGAAGAAAAAGTTCATTTTGGTTTAAGCCAACATTTTTTTCCCACTCGCTTAACATGAGAATGCTCCAGTGGAGTGCACTGAGGCAGACGGTCCCTACATGCCCAGCTGTGGGCAGGAAGGGAAGAAGGCTCATGCAGGAATCTGAAATTCATGCCTCAAGACTCTGGCTTCACTTGGAAGCTTTTGCGACCCTTGAAGTGGGGTGCAGAGTGGAGGGGAAATTGTTGACTTGGATGCCCTTTGGGCCTGATGGGATGCCTGTGGTACAGGAAGGTTCTAGGTAGGGCCTGCTCTGCCCTCCAGAAAGTTCCTTAAGACTTGAGGGCTCAGGTTCTGAGATGCTGAGGTCCCTTTAGTCATTATCTCCAGCTGCAGCTCTATTAGAGAAGCCCGCTTTCTGACTTCGACTTGTAATTCACCTATTCCAGCAATGAAGCCATAGTCACCTCTGAAAATGAACTGCAGTTGGGCTCACCCAGGGCTGGGCTCTTGCTGTGTGAGAGCGCCCTCTGCTGCCTCCCTCTTGTCCAGTTACACAAGCCAAGGCCACCAATCAAGAATGAGTGTCACTTGGCCCCGCCTCTAAGCGCATTTAGCCATCTGTCTTCAGCCTAGTGTGCGAACCCCTTCGTTTCAGAGCCTTGTTCCCTCCCATTCTTTCAATTCATGACTGTTTTCCCTTTCCATGGGCCTCTCAGTCTGCCCTAGCCATGTTTTTCAGGCTTCCTGACACTTTCAAGTTGAGCCCCTCCAGGCTGTTCAGTCCCCTCCAGGCTGTTCAGTCTCACTTCCCATTCATCTGTGCCATTTGCAAATGGCCTGGCAGAGTGCCATCTTTTCCAGAAGGACTCCAGGTCTCAAGTCCCCACCACAGTTGCAGCTGAATACATGGTCAGCTGGCACCTTATCACCGCTTCCAGCACGTGATGTAGTTCTCTCCCAGCTCTCTGTAAACTGAGTGCTGAAGAGAAGGAAAGTAGCATGTCGTCAAGGAAGCAGCACTCGCTATGTACTGCTGTCCTAATACTTGTTCTTTTTCTAGCCATGGCACTGAAGAGGGGCAGCAAATCCTGCAGCAGCCGGTGCCAGAGAGACTGGACTTTGTGTGTGGTTTCCTGCAGAGTAAGCACCTTTCTTACCTAGCACCTGGGCTTTGGGGGAAGAAAGGGTTGAAAGCTTCCTACTCTAGCGCAGAAACACAGACAGCTGGGTCAGCTTCCCAGGTCTTAACACCAGTTGGTGTAAGAATTGTGCCCCTTCAGTGCTGGAGCCCTGGTCAGATCAGCGTAGAGCAGAGGGGTTGCCATTTGGTGCCCATCTCCTTAGCTTTGTATTCCGCTCACTTTGAGGAGCCAGAGTAGAGAGAAGGGTGCATGTTACCCTAGCTCCCTTGCAAGAAAAAAATGTTTCCCAGGTAACTTCCCTCAGATAATTGCGTAGGTCATTGGCGTAGGTCATTGGCGTAGGGGCAGAGGCAGTTTTGGTGAGATCTTGACCCTGTTCACTGCTGTCCCTTTCTGCACATAGGCTCCCTGTGTGTAGTTTGGAGATAAAGGAAATTGCTCTTCAGGTTGATGGAGGATTAAATAAGAATACATTGGAAGCTTCTAGCACAGTGCTTGTCAGTTCCCCTTCTCTGGTTCAGCCTTGGACCACAGCATGACCACATTTGACATGGGAAGCTGTCTGCCATCTCCATCTCAACAGAATATAGGGAAGGTGAGAATCCAGTTAGGTAGAACAGGTTAGTAATTGAACCTAGCCTGTGTGGCAACGTAAGAGCCAGGGATCCCCATTCACTCTGCTCTGACCTGGCTATAGATGTCTGGGTCCTTAGCTGGCATAGAACTCTAGAGCAGTGGTGGCGAACCTATGGCATGCATGTTATATTCAGGTTTGATTGGAGTGTTGGCATTTTGCAAAAACAAGTGGGTTTGGGTTGCAGTTTGGGCTCCTGTCTCCAAAAGGCTCACCATCACTGCTCTAGAGTAACCTCTGGATTCCTTCTGTGGTGCTGAGTGGGAGCTGGTGAGTGGACAGGTGATGGCAAGGTCCTGACCCAGAGCTGAAATGTGTGGCTGGGGAGAGAGGACGCAGGAGCCCTTCCTCTCATAGTCCTCTTAGACTGTAGGTCTGCTTGTCAGACTCCGGTGTTCTCATGGACTCAGGGGTGATTCCCAGGGAGTTCATCCTGTTTCTACATTGTTGTCATTGCAGAAAATCGAAAACGTCCCTCTTCCCCAGAATGCCTTGTGTCTGTGCAGAAGGTGATGGATGGATCAGAGCTGGAGCTGGCCAAGGTACCTGTGGAATACCAAACTTGGGGGCTGGGTTAACCCAAAGGAGGTTGGTGGGTGCTTTGTTTCTGGGATTTTTCTAAGTTGGAGGAGGACCAGATAGTCACCCCTCTGAGCCAGAGCCCAGGGGTCTGAGGGGACCATGATCTGACAAAGAAGTCTTCATTACCAACACTGTGGGTTACAGTGGAGACCTGGCAGGAGTCAGATCTTATCGTGTGATCAGTGTCTTCTTTTTTTTTTTAATAGCTCTGTCTACTTTGTTCCCTGGGGTGCTGGCCTCACTGTACAGGGTGCCTGAAGCTTTATCCCCATGTTTGCGTGAGCCCAGCGATTTAGCCATACAGGCATCTTGGCAACTCGCTTTTTGCACAGTGTGCATTGAGTCCTCAGAATACAACAAAGTGTATCCTGGGGCTGTTATGGGTGGTGGCCTGGAACTGCTAATCCTAGGAGTTTTGGAAGAGTCTTCGGAATAACTCTTAGAGTTCCCTGAAAAGTCCTGTGTGGAAACACTGGGAAGAGACACCCCTGCTCAAGTAACTGGCTCCTGTTCGGCTTCTAGATAATCATGCTGCTCTTGTACCACTCGTCCATGAGCTCCCAAAACCTCCGTGACTGGGAACAGTTTGAATATAGGATTCAGGTAAGCTCTACGCTGCTTCTGGACCCAGCATGGGTGTCCCTTACCCCCTTTCTTTCTCTTTAAATAGTGCATATTCCCTGAGAAGCTATGGCTGTAATGACAGCCATGTGTTATAGGAAAAAAATCCAGAAAATATTGAGAAGCACAAAGAAGAATATAACACTTGCCAGTAACCTCATTCTCAGAGATAACTGCTCAGTTTAAAGGGTAGATTTCCAAGACCTTTCTTATGTACACATATTTAATTGTCTTGTGTGTTTGGATAACACATAGAAATTATTGTCTTAATATATTTATCCATGTCCATATGTTCTTGTCCTTTCCTCCTTTCCTTTCATCCTTTCCTCCAATAGCGTCATCTGGACAAGGCCACATGGTTAGGTGTAAAAGCTTTCTGTCTGTGCCCCTTCCCCGACGTATGTTAGAGACTCGGTCTGACCCTGGTTTCATCCTTAGGGGAGTCAGAGGGAAAGGACTATGTGAGCTGCTGAATGCTGTGGGTTGGACCGTGAAGCTCTGGCTCTGAGAGGAAGAGTGGGACCCAGTGTATTCCAGGGCTCCGGAGAACCTGTGATGGCCATTGTCTGGATGGAGCCCCTCAGCCCTCACTTGAGAGGCCCCTCTGGCACTGCAGCGATGCTCCTATTCTCTCTTTGGTGCAGGCTGAGTTAGCAGTCATCCTTAAGTTTATGCTGGACCATGAGGATGGGCTGAACCTTACAGAGGACCTAGAGATCTTCTTGAAGAAAGGTGAGCAGTAGAGATCCTCCTGAGGATCCCCTCATCTGGGCAGGGACTGCTAGAGGTGTGTGTGAATGAGTGTGTGTGCTGGGGTTTGTTCCTGTCAGGAGGCACGGAGTTGGTGCTCAGGATGGGTGTAATGCAGGAGTTGACCCTTAGGCTATGTCAACATCATCTCCATCACCACAGAGTTCCCCCTTGCTGCCAGGTAGTTGAGCAGAGTGTAAGTGATCCCATCTGCCGTGAGGCTGTCCTGATCTCTCACAGACACACACCTTTTTTTTCCCCTCTTGTGGTACAAAGAACTCTGATCCCAGGGCTTTCAGATTGATCTACATTCCCAGCCCTTTTTTTTTTTTTCCCATTTTGAGACAGAGTCACACTAAGTTACCTAAGTTAGGCTCAGACTTGTGATGCTTGTCTCAGCCTCTCAGAGTGCTGAGATTTACAGGTGTGGGCCACCATCCCAAGGTCTGTTTTGAAATTTTAAAATAATCACTACTTTAGGCTTAAAATCTAGGAATACAGAGTCTTTAGAAAAGGTTTTCCCTTCATAAAGCACATGTTCTCAGTGGGAAGCAAACACATACACCAGTAAGTATGATAAGGCATCTGTGGGCGGAACCTGCAGAACATCTGGCTGGTAGCGCAGCTGATGAATGAGCAGGAAGTCAGCTGGTGTGATCGGCATCTGAGGACATGGGGTGGGGGCAGGTTCTTTGCCAGCTGTTGAATGTGATGTTCCTCGTATTGAGGTTTACAAGACCTTCAGTTGGGGATGTGAGTCCAGAGTGCAGGAGAGGGCTCTGGGCCAGACGTGGGTTTATGGATCATCCTGTGGGTAGCCACCAACACTCTGGGCACTGTGGACCTTGAGGGGGCAGGGGGTAGGTGCAAAAAGGAGTTCATTGATGAGAGGTAGGAGTGTCGCACAGAAGCGGTCATGGGAACATAGGGATGAGGTCTTGAGAAAGAGGCGTTCGGAAGGTTCAGATAGCTCTGGAAAGAGGCCAGGGACTCGGACACAGGAGGCTGTTGGGAACTGCAGGGAAATCCCATGCAGAGCTCCCAGCTGTCTCTGCAGCTCAGACTTGGAGGAAAATCCTGGTACCTGGTCTATTTTCAGAGTATGGAGGATGCTGTCTTTGTTCTTTCTGAGCACTGATGCACTGTGAAGTTGGAAGCCCCACACTTGGTTGTGGTTAGGGGCCCTGACCTCAGGATACCCAGACACCAGGTTTCAGGTTCTGCCTAGTACCTTCCTCTGAAATTTACATACAAAGTATCCAAAGAGTCAGCCAGGTGTGGTGGCACATGCCTGTAATCCCAGCACTCAGCTGGCTGAAGCAGGAGGATCGCCACAAGTTGAAGGCCAGCCTGAACTACATAGTGAGAACCTGTGCCAAAAAAACAAAAAAAATGTCCTAAGAGTCACACCTACTAAGGCAAGTTCTCACTTGACATAACAATGCTAAGCTGTTCACCGCCCCCTTACTAACATTTCTTGGTTTGTCTGTTTCTTATCTCTAGTTCCTGTCTCTTCCACCTGTTCCAGTACCTTCTCGGAAGAGCTGTCTCCACCCAGCCACCAGGCCAAGAGGGAGGTTCGCTTCCTAGAGCTACAGAAGGTTGCCTCTTCCAGTGGGAACAAGTATGTCCTGGGCCTTTCCTGGGAGGGGCCTCAGCATCCACTCAGTCCTCAATTCCTTGCATTCTGGAGGCCACGCCTCTCACATCATCAGGGTGTTTGAAGGGTGCTGTCCTCCTGGGGTTTCCTTGTCTGACCCAGCACTAATCGGGCAGGCCGGTTAGGTCTGACAGGGGCAGACAACCGGCTTCAAAGGCAGCATCCTGTATAAGGCAGTCCTTCCCTCAGTGCTGCTCTGCAGAGGCAAGGACAATATGTAACCCCCCCACCCCCACGCCCAGCACAGAAATTAAGGCATGGAGAAGGGAGAAGGAGTTTTCTCCAGGTCCTGTCATGAGGCACGAGATAGCACTGCAGACAGAACCCAGGTACCTGGGCCTCCCGGGCAGTGCTAACGGCCGTCAACCCCTACTCCCCGTCCTTGGCTGTTGCTGGTTGCTTTCACGCTTAGGCTCTTACCCTGGCTTCTGGGGTATCTCCTTTCTCAGCTTCGTCTCAGGTTCTCCAGCCTCTCCCGTGGGTGACATCCTGCAGACGCCACAGTTTCAGATGAGACGGCTGAAGAAGCAGCTTGCAGATGAGAGAAACAATAGAGATGAGCTAGAGCTGGAGCTGGCTGAGCACCGCAAGCTCCTCACCGAGAAGGGTGGGTTCCTGGCATGCTGTGGGTGTGAGGCAGCATTTGGGGCTTACATCTGGGGAAGCCCTGGGTGACGGTTTACTCTCCCATATTTCCCCCCGCTGGCCCTGAAACTTAGAGCTCTGTGTTAGGCTGAGAGTCAGGCTGACTTCCTGAAAGCTCCCATTCCCATAGCCCTATGTCGCCTCCTTTCTGTCCCTGCTCCTGCAGTTCTGTGCTGACCCTGCCTTTTCTTCCTGCTTTGGGACAGATGCACAGATATCCATGATGCAGCAGCGCATTGACCGCCTTGCTCTGCTGAACGAGAAGCAGGCAGCCGGCCCTCTGGAGCCCAGGGAACTTGAGGAGCTGCGGGGCAAGAATGAAAGGTAGAGCTCTCCCTGCCGCCTTCCTTGCTCCCAGCCCCCGCCCCCCCGCCCTAGTCAGGGCCATGTTTCCCTCACTGTTCCCTTCTGGCAGCCTCACCTTGCGGCTGCATGAGACTCTAAAGCAGTGTCAGGACCTGAAGACAGAGAAGGGCCAGATGGACCGCAAAATTAACCAGCTTTCTGAGGAGAATGGGGACCTGTCTTTTAAGGTGAGGAATGGGGCCACGCACGGACAGCCTCAGGGCTGAGGTGGTCTAGAAGGCTCCCCGGGAGGGTTCAGAAGACTCCTGGAACCTGGCTCAGGCTTCAGTCTCTCCAGATACCTGAATACTGAGCCACTTTCCTCATCCCGTAATTGACTGCTGCTAGGGGACTGAGTGATAGCCCTAATTTTTTATTTATTTACTTTTTTTTTTGGTCTTTTTGAGACAGGGTCTCGTTATGCAGTTCAGGCTGGCCTTGAGCTCACTTTGTAGCTTAGGCTGGTCTCAAACTCAAAACAATCCTCCTGCCTCAGCCTCCCGAGTGCTGAGATTACTGGTGTGCGCCACCATGCCCCGCTGATAGCCCTAAACGTTGACATGTAGTCCTGAATTAGCAGTGTGATTCATTGTAATTGAGGGGAGCCGGCGTGGAGGGACCAGTCCCCAGGCATTAGGGAGCAGATGGCAGTGGCCATGCCAGTTGGACCCTGGGTGACAAGAGTCCTTCTTGTGTCTCAGTTGCGGGAGTTTGCCAGTAACCTGCAGCAGCTCCAGGGCGCCCTCAATGAAGTGACTGAGGAGCACAGCAAGGCCACTCAGGAGTGGGTGGAGAAGCAGGCCCACCTGGAGAAGGAGCTTGGCACAGCCCTGCAGGACAAGGTAACCCCGCTGGGGAGTTGGGGCCAGGCTGGACGATTGCTGAGGAAGTATTGGACACATTGTGAGGGAATTAAGCTCTCAAATCAGTTGCAGGTTGGTCGGGACCAGAATGTGTGAGTTGGGAGATTTTCTAGTTTCAGGAGATCTACGTAGACTTCATGAGTATTTCAAAGTCGGAATACTCCAAAATCTAAAACTTGTTGAACATCTTGTTGGAGCTCAGAAAGTTTGGGATTTTCGAGCATTTGGAATTTCAGATTTCCAAATTAAGGATGCCAGCCGGACTTGTTATTGTTGCTATTTATAAGAACCCAGCTCTGCCATTTGTTGACCATGGAGTACATTAGCAAGGCACTAAGCGTCTGAGTGTCAGTGTCTCGCTTAGTAAACGAGGCAATAATAGTGGCCTCCCAGACTTGTAGATGGGTTAGAAATTCAGAGATGCACCAAGTTTAGTGTCTAGTCCCTAATCAAAAATAAGGGGGAAGTAGGCATGGGGTGGGGGTTGCTGCCTAGGATCTACTTTTTTTTTTTTGAGACAGGGTCTCACTATGTGTCCTTAGTTGGCCTCGAACTCGAACTTGCAGTGATCATCGTGCCTCAGCCTCCCAAGTGCTGGGATTACAGATGTGAGCCACCAGGCCCAGCTCCAGGGCTATTTTTAAACTGGTGGTGGTTTGTGTAATCTAGGAGTCAAGGCTTATCGATAGTAAGATCGAGAAACGATAGTAAGGAAATTGGAAGTAAGCCCTATAGCCTTGGAGAAGTAGGAAGCAGCTCATAGTGTGGTTTAATTTGATCCTAGAACTAGAAAGTCAGGTCCCTCATAGGCTCAGGTCCATAATTTCTGAGATTTTTCTTTCCCCTTAGGCCAGGGCAAAGACAGATCTTATTAACAAAATGGTAGTGTTACATTTTGCTCATGTTTGTGAGGGCCTGTGTGGTACTCTGATACGTGGTCCACCTCTTCACATGGTCTCTTTTTACTCCCAGAAATGCCTTGAAGAGAAGAATGAAATTCTTCAGGGGAAACTTTCTCAGCTGGAAGAACGTTTGGCCCAGCTGCCAGAGACCCCACCTCGGGGTGAGGTGCTGGGTGACGTCTTGCAGGTAAAAATACAGAGGAGCAGCCAGAAGACCTGTGTGTTAGGGTTGGTTCCTGTCCCTCCTTGGTTCCCAGAGGATGTGGTGATGGAGAGAATCATGCTTATCCCTATTGGTCTCTTTTTTGTCTCTATTTGTCCCACCAGCTGGAAACGCTGAAGCAAGAGGCAGCCACTCTTGCTACAAATAACACCCAGCTCCAAGCCAGGGTGGAAACGCTGGAGAGTAAGCAGGTTCAGAAGGAAGCCCAGCTGCTGGCTGAGCGGAGCCGCTTTGAAGAAGAAAAGCAGCAACTGGCCAGTGTGATTGCCGACCTGCAGAGCTCCGTCTCCAACCTGAGCCAGGCCAAGGAGGAGCTGGAGCAGGCCTCTCAGGCTCAGGGTGCCAAGCTGAGTGCTGAGGTGGCCTCTCTGACTGCAGAACTCACTACACTCAATGCCACCCTCCAGCAGCAGGATCAAGAACTGACTGGCCTAAAGCAGCAGGCCCAAAAGGAGCAGGCCCAGCTAGTACAGACGCTCCAACAGCAAGAACAGGCCTCCCAGGGCCTCCGCCAGCAAGTAGAGCAGCTCAATGGCAGCCTGAAGCAGAAGGAGCAGGAGTTGGAAGAGGCAGCCAAGAAGCTGGAGAGCAGCAGGCAGGACCACGCCCAGGAACTGGCCATTGCCGCCAAGGCACACGAGGCCTCCTTGCGGGAGCGGGATGCAGCTTGCCAGCAGCTGGAGACATTGAAGAAGGAGGAGGCTGCCAAGTTGGAGATTCTGCAACAGCAACTTCAGGCTGCTAATAAAGCCCAGGACAGTGCCCAAGACTCAGTGACCCAGGTCCAGAAGGAGAAAGCAGAGCTGAGCCAAAAAGTGGAGGAACTCCACGCCAGCATTGAGGCAGCCCACCAGGAGCAGCGTGAGGCTGAGGCCCAGGTGGCAACATTAGAGGCCCAGCTGAAGGCTGAGCAGCAGAAAGCAACTGAGAGAGAAAGTGTAGCCCAGGAGAAGGCCCAGCTCCAGGAGCAGCTCCAGGCCCTTGAGGAATCCTTGAGGATCACCAAGGGCAGCCTCGAAGAGGAGAAATCCAGAGCTGCAGCTGCCCTGGAAGAGCAGCAGCGCTGTATCTCTGAAATGGAGGCAGAGTCCCGAAGCCTTGCAGAACAACATAAGCAGGAACAGAAGGAGCTGGAAGAAGAGAAGGCGAAGCGCAGGGGGCTGGGCATACAGTTACAGCAGCTTAGGGAGACCCATCAGGCGGAGGCCAAAGCCCTGAAACAGGAGCTGGCAAAGGCCAGAACCTCCAAGAGCCTCGCTGAGAAGGAGGTTGATCTGCTCGTCAAGGAAGTTAAAACCTGGCGGAGGCAATGCGAAGATAGCCAGCAAGGGCTGGCCCAACTTGGTCTGCAGGAACAGCTGACGACCCTGAAGGAAGAGTATGAGAAGACCTGCCGGGAGCTGCAGGAGACAAAGGAGAAGATGGCAGGGATAGAGGCCCACAGTGAGCTCCAGATAGGCCAGCAGCAGAGTGAGCTAGCCCAGCTCCATGCAAGCCTTGATAGAGCTATTCAGCAGGTCCAGGAGAAAGAGGACAGGGCCCAGAAGCTGGCAGATGACCTCTCCACTCTGCAGGAGAAGATGGCTGCCACCAGCAAGGAAGTGGCCCGTCTAGAGGCCCTGGTGCGCAAGGCAGGTGAGCAGCAGGAGACAGCCCCCCGTGAACTACTCAAGGAGCCCCCGAGGGCCAGAGACAGAGAGTCTGAGTGGCTGGGACAGCAGCCCTACAGCACACAGGCAGCGCTTCGAGCCATGGAGCGGGAGGCAGAGCAAATGGGCACTGAGCTGGAGAAGCTGCGGGCAGCATTGATGGAGAGCCAGGGCCAGCAGCAGGAGGAGCGTGGGCAGCAGGAGAGGGAGGTGGCACGGCTAACCCAGGAGCGGGGCCAGGCCCAAGCTGACCTGGTCCTGGAGAAGGCAGCCAAAGCAGAGCTTGAGATGAGGCTGCAGAACACGCTCAACGAACAGCGAGTGGAGTTTGCTGCCCTGCAAGAGGCGCTGTCCCGTGCCCTGACGGAAAAGGAGGGCAAAGAGCAGGAGCTGAGCAAGCTTCGTGAGCAGGAGGCAGTCCAAAGAACGGAGCTGAGGGAGCTTCAGCAGACTGTGGAGCAGCTAAAGGCACAGTTGGCTAAGAAGGAAAAGGAACACCAGCAGTCAGCAGGGATGGCCGGTGGAGAGAACGCGTCAGGCATGGGAACCCAGTCTGAGGCTGCTGGAAAGACAGAGGCACCAGGCCCTGAGCAGGAGGTGCTGCAGGCAGAGGTGAGCAAGCTGGAGCAGCAGTGCCTGCAGTGGCAGGAGGAGGCCGACAGCCTGGCTCGTGGTCTAGAGTCGGAGCGCGCCACCCGTTTGGAGCAGGACAGGATCTTGGAGGCTCTGCAGCACCAGTTAGAGGAGAAGGTCCGGGAGCTGGGGCACAGGCAGGCTGCCTCAGACTCAGCCCAGAGGGAGCTGGCCGCCCTCCGAGCCAAGGCCCAAGACCATAGCAAGGCTGAGGAGGAGTGGAAGGCCCAGGTGGCCCGGGGCCAGCAGGAGGCCGAGAGAAAAAGCAGCCTCATTAGCAGTTTGGAGGAGGAAGTGTCCATCCTGAACCGCCAGGTCCTGGAGAAGGAAGGGGAGAGCAAGGAGTTGAAGCGGCTGGTTATAGCCGAGTCAGAGAAGAGCCAGAAGCTGGAAGAGAGGCTGCGTTTGCTCCAGGCAGAGACAGCCAGCAACAGTGCCAGAGCTGCAGAACGTAGCTCCGCTCTCCGCGAGGAGGTGCAGAGCCTCCGGGAGGAAGTAGAGAAACAGCGCTCGGCTTCAGAGAACCTGCGGCAGGAGCTGGCCTCGCAGGCAGAGCGAGCCGAGGAGCTGGGCCAAGAATTGAAGGCATGGCAAGAGAAGTTCTTCCAGAAGGAACAGGCCCTCTCTGCACTGCAGCTGGAGCACACCAGCACACAGGCCCTGGTGAGTGAGCTGCTGCCTGCCAAGCACCTCTGCCAGCAGCTGCAGGCTGAGCAGGCAGCTGCCGACAAGCGCCACAGAGAGGAGCTGGAGCAGAGCAAGCAGGCAGCTGGTGGGCTGCGGGCGGAGCTGCTTCGGGCCCAGCGGGAGCTTGGGGAGCTGGTGCCCCTGCGGCAGAAGGTGGCTGAGCAGGAGCGAGCAGCCCAGCAGCTGCGGGCGGAGAAGGCCAGCTATGCAGAGCAGCTGAGCATGCTGAAGAAGGCTCATGGGCTGCTGGCAGAGGAGAACCGGGGGCTCGGGGAGCGTGCCAGCCTTGGCCGGCAGTTTCTGGAGGTGGAGCTGGACCAGGCCCGGGAGAAGTATGTCCAAGAGTTGGCAGCTGTGCGTGCTGATGCGGAGACTCGTCTGGCTGAGATGCAGCAGGAAGCACAGAGCGCTACCCGGGAGCTGGAGGTGATGACTGCCAAGTACGAGGGTGCCAAAGTGAAGGTCCTGGAGGAAAGGCAGCGGTTCCAGGAAGAAAGGCAGAAACTCACTGCCCAGGTAAGGTGTCCAGTTCTACCACACCCCAGAGATCCAGAGAAAGTGGGGACGTTGCTTCTTGGGGTTCTGAGGTGGACATTCCTTCTACACTGTGATGTGTCTTGCTCTCCCTTGTCCCCGGGTGGCTACAAAAAGAGGTGGCTGGTGGAGTTTAAGTCCATTGCCCCTCTTGTCCTAAAGAAAATATCAGTGGCCTCCCCCTTCCCTCGAGGCTGTGAGAGCTGCCAGCCCAGCGCAGAGGCACACCTGCACTGGAGTCCCCAGCAGCTGCTGAAGACGAGCAGCAGCAGAAGTGGCATTTTAAGCTGACCCCTTGTAGCGCCCGGGGAAGGAATCAGGCAGCCAGCAGGCTGCCGTGCGGCCCCCATCTCACTCTCTCCATTGCTCCTCCCCCACGCACAGGTGGAGCAGCTAGAGATATTTCAGAGAGAGCAGACTAAGCAGGTAATGCCTGGGGTCCTTGATAAAAGCTGGCTGCTTAAGCGGTGACCAGTGTCCGTGCATGACCCCAGCTGCAGCTTTCCTCCGCCGGCTCCCGTTGTGAACTGTTTGTGAAGGGGGCAGGGTCGCGCCACGGAACCCGGGCCCATGCTGCCCAGGAGTTTGGTGCCTTGGGCCTCTCTTGGGCCTCGTCCTAGTCATCCCAGGTCGGCCTCTCCATCTTTCTGCACTTTTTTTTTTTTTTTTGTCTGCACTTTCTCTTATCTGCCTGTCAGGGACCAGGGGTAGCACAGGGACAGACAATCTTGCAATTCCAAAACCTCTGAAGTCCTGTTTCTAGAGGAATAGCAGAGTTCCTTGTGAGCCTGGTTTATCACAGCACCCTCCTTCCCACAGAGTATGGATCTGTTGAAACCATAAAGGTAACATGCAAGGCAACCCTCAGGCTATGGAGGGTGATGGGCTCAGGACACCTGCCCAGCATCTTCTGAGGCTTTAACCTAGAGCACCGTGTGGTGGTGCCTGGAGCAGACGGCCAGGGTGGAGAACAGAAGGGGTCCCACGGTCTGGCTGCCACCCTCTCAAGGATCTCACTGTGCTTCTGAGACATCATGGCTACAGAGCTGGTGTTTAGTAAGAACACCCCTCCAGCGTCTCGCTTCCCAATCACCTGTGGAAGAATTGGTTCCTCCCTTCTTCCTGTCACCTCTTCCAAGAAGCCAGAGGTGATGGGCACAGTCAAATTGCAAAGCAAACAGTTAGCAATGGAGCCCGTGCTTCTCTCTCCTTGCCTGGTCCTGCTTGAGCCTCAGAATGCCTGGAAGAGCCAGGGTGCTTGTGGCTGTACTATCCCTGTTGCCCCTTCCTTTTTCGCCTTTCCTCTTTGTGGAACTGAGGAGGGGGTGGTGTGGGACACGTGCTGCCCCTGCTCTCGTCTTCCAGCAATCTGTCCCCACGATGCTAACCACAGCAGCCACACCGCTAGCCTCAGCCTAATGTCCTGTAAGACTGGGAGAGGTCTGGGCATTGGGGCTTTTGCTTTGGTGGTTTCTGGGAGGCGGCAGGGTTGGGTATCTACTGAACATGTCTGCTAGAGCACCCGTTCAGGGCCTCTGTTCCTGCCCTAGTCTGAAATACCTAGGAAGTACTAGGTATTCTGGGAAGCTTAGGGCCAGGGAGCAGTGGCTGCCGCAGGGTAGTGGGAAGGTGGCAGCTCCGCAGTCAGCCCTGGTGATTCTCGTGGCTCCAAGCTGAGGGTGGAACAAGTCCAGGCAGGTGCCCTGGCAGCATCTGTGTGTGGCTACCTCACTATGGCCCTGCAGCCTATATAGCAGGCCATTCCCTAACTAGAGGCTGGAGAAAGGGCTTGAGTTTCTCTTAGGAATACTGGGGTGATTGGTCCAGGGAAACCTCTGGTTCATCCTGACTTCCTGGGACAAGTCTCTTGAGTCTGGCTGTCTCGTCTCCTCTCCCCAGGTGGAAGAGCTGAGTAAGAAGCTGGCTGACTATGACCAAGCCAGCAAGGTGCAGCAGCAAAAGCTCAAGGTGGGACAACTTGGGGGGTGGGCCTGGCCTCTGGCTGCCTCAGAGTGGGAATGTGGGAGGAAAGTGTTCTGTAAGCGCCTGGGCTATGAGGGATGGTGGAGTAAGAGGAGGGGCATCCTGTGTGCCTGGTGGTCCGTAGCCTCCGCATGATTTGGAAGCCCCTGCCTGTAATTCTGGGAGCTCTTGAGGGAAGACCAGGTTTCTGTTCTTCTAGACTTTCATTATCCATTACAGCTGCTAGTCACCTGAGATTCTTTAAATTTAAATTATATTTTAAAATTCAGTGTTAAATTGTACTAGCCACATTTCCCCTGCTGTATAAATGTTCCAGCATCCCAGAAAGCTCTGCAGAATAGTACCTACCTAGGTGGTCTGGGCTCAAGGGGTGAATGTCAGTAGCATCAGTGATTATAATGCAGTTAATATTTTCACTGCTTTAAATTTTGTCACCTTCTTTGCTCTAGTATTTTTGCAGCCTTTATTCAGGCAAAAGAATGGGGCACTAGTGCCTTTGGGGTTCACTGAAGCCCTGGGGTGCCGCAGGTGTTGGTGGGAGCTCACAACTTCAATTTTTTGTTTTTTCCATATGCACTGCTCCAGGTCTGAGTGCATAATAAACACATTTCTTTTGCTCCTTCTGGGGGCCTGCCCTGAGCTGGGAGCTGTAGGAGAGACAAGGGTGTGATGCTCCTATCCACTGCAAGCCTTCGCTGCCATTGTGGGATAGAGGGACACAGGCTACTCACAAGGAGTTAGGGTCTGGGTAGGTGGCTTGCTGGCACCAGAGACCTCACCAGCTCTGGAGTTAGGTGGACCAAGTTCCATTCTTACTTTGCCACAGTCCCTGTGAATTTGGTCAGTTTGCTTAAAGGTCTGAACTTAGTTTCATCTCTGGAATAAGGATAAAATTACTTCACAAAGTGTTCGGAGGAGAGACGAGTTCCTGGTCACAGAGCTCACGTGCAAGTGCCTGGCACTATGATCTGTGTCCAGGTGACCTCTGGGGGTCAGCTTCTCTTCCTCCTTAGGGAGAGTGCATATGGAGAGTATGAGATGACTGGGCCCGGTTTCAAAGACAGTAAAGACAGGGCTGTCGTCTCAGTCAGAGCTAGCAGATGGCATGAGCTGGTCAGGAGAGCTTCTGCAGAAAGCCATGGAGGCTGTGTGCTGTTTCAGGGGACCATGGTTGAGTGAGTATACTTGGGGAGAGAGGACGCCTGAGCACCCTCAGAGAATATGCAGGAGTCTGAAACAGCTATGGGGCCCACGTGGCTCACGCAGGTCAGTGCTTTGAGTGCTGCAGCCAGCCTGCTCTCCCTCATTGCCATTCTCAGGCTTTCCAGGCCCAGGGAGGTGAGAGCCAGCAGGAAGTGCAGCGCCTCCAGGCCCAGCTGAATGAGCTGCAGGCGCAGCTGAGCCAGAAGGAGCAGGCAGCTGAGCATTACAAGCTGCAGGTAAGGATCCCAGCACGGGCCCAGTCTGCCCCTCACCCTGCCTGCCCTACAGGCTCTGCCCTGCCCACCCACCCTGTCTGCCTATACAGATGGAGAAAGCTAAGACACATTATGATGCCAAAAAGCAGCAGAACCAAGAATTGCAGGAGCAGCTGCAGGGCCTGGAGCAGCTGCAGAAGGAGAACAAGGAGCTGCGGGCTGAAGCTGAACGGCTGGGACGGGAGCTGCAGCAGGCTGGGCTAAAGACCAAGGAGGCCGAGCAGAACTGCCGCCACCTCACTGTCCAGGTGCGCAGCCTGGAGGCACAGGTAAGCACCTGACTAAGCAGATTGGCCTCAGCCCTGTTCTGTTGGACCCCTGTGCCCTCCTCTCTGAGCCACCCCTGCCTTAGACTTTCCGCTGCTCCTTCCCAGGTTGCCCATGCAGACCAGCAGCTTCGAGAGCTGGGCAAATTCCAGGTGGCATCTGATGCCTTAAAGAGCCGCGAGCTCCATGCTAAACCCCAGCTGGACTTGAGTATCGACAGCCTTGATCTGAGCTGTGAGGAGGGGACCCCACTCAGCATCACCAGGTCAGGAGGCCTCCCCACACCGAGTCTGCTGCTCACTGAGCACCTGCTCTCCAGGCTGTACTGTAGGCACTGGGCTAGAAGAGTAAGATGCAATCCCTTTGCCCCCCCTGGAAGTTTATTCTTGGAGAACAAAGAAAGCTCAGAGTTGTGATGGCAGATTTTCCGGTGAGGGCACAGGGGGAGTGGGCAAGACAGGCAGTAGAGGCTGTCGTTCCAGCTGAGTCTTGAAAGAATCTGCAGGTGTGTGTGCCAGTGGGCAGATGTGTGAGCAGTGGCTGAGGAGCCTGGCTGGGCTGGAACAGGTGGCCGGGAGGGAGGACCCAAGGGCCCAGGCTGCCTGGATGACCACTTGGAGGCTGCGTTTACACTTGTACCGAGGAACCTCAGAGGGACTGAAATTGAGCAGTAGTACATGGCTGGATTTGCATTTTAGAAAGGTTTTTCTGATAGCCAATGTAAGTTAAGACTGAAAACCCGTACGTTGTATTTATTAAATACTTACATTGCACTTATTATATGCCACTGTTCTAAGCACTTAGAGCAATTATAACTACTTCATTTCTGCCCCAATAACCCTATGAAGTAGGTTTTGTTTATTATATCTCCTTTAACAGATAGAACTGGGGCATATAGTAATGCAGCTGGGGTTTGAACCTCGGCAGCCTGGCCCAAGTCCTTGCTTGCCACCCCTCTTCTGCGTTCTAAGTCTAGGTGAGAGGAGATGAGCCTGCCTGAGGAAGGATATAGGCACCCAAAGGGTTGTGGCACCCGGAGGCGTGGTGATTGGATTGGACTTGGCTGGGAGACACCCACACCCATGTTCATGGCTAGGAAAGTTTGCAAGGGGACACCTACTTACTTAAATAAGAGATACAGGAAGAACAGACAGACGGCCTTAGTTTGGGACCTGTTCTTTCGAGATGTCCACCCTACTGGATGTTGGCTTGGAGAGCTGGTACTGCTACAGAAGGCCCAGGTCAAGGGCTCTTTGGAAAGTCAGAGATGGGGTGTTTGACTGCAGCTGCATGTAGTAAGTGTAGAAAATGATCATTTGCTGCAGAGGGATAGACAAAATGCTTCCAGCCCCAAGGGCCTTACCTCAGCAAGTTCCTTTTCCACAGCAAGCTGCCTCGTACCCAGCCAGATGGCACCAGCGTCCCTGGAGAGCCAGCCTCACCCATCTCCCAGCGCCTTCCCCCCAAGGTAGAATCCTTGGAGAGTCTCTATTTCACCCCCATCCCTGCTCGGGGCCAGGCCCCCCTGGAGAGCAGCCTGGACTCCCTGGGGGAAGCCTTCCTGGACTCAGGCCGTAAGACACGCTCCGCTCGCAGGCGTACCACACAAATCATCAACATCACCATGACCAAGGTCAGGCTGCTGGGAATGGGGCTGTGGGGTAGTAATGCACACTTCCTCACAAAGCATCTTTGCATCAGGTCCTCAGGTACAGGCAGGGATGACCAGCCTGCCACTTGGTACAGATGGGAAAGATCTGAGATCTCGAGGCAGTGACTTGCTCAGGGCCTCGTGTGTGGGAAAGGCAGTGTAGGAATTAGCCTGTCTTCTGACTGGAAGGCTACTATCCTCCCATGAGTGGCGGTGGTGGTGTGCAGGCGGAAGGGTATGAATAGGGGCAAGTCGCAACCAAGCTGCCTAGCAGACTAATGCCAGGCTTAGTGCTCTTTCCCTTGTTTTCATCTCTGGGAGGAAGAAGAGGAAAGGGAGGTGCCTGTGCTGTGAGGTGCGTGTGCTGTAGCATGGAGGGCCTCTTTGTGTGAGGTGCTGTCCGCTACCAAAAAGCTGGAGAAATTGTGGAAGATGGCTGGGACCCCTGGAACCTCGGACTGAGGGACATGGAGGCTGTAGCTCAGCCTGATGGCTTAGCTTAGGAGGCATGGGTTCTAGCTCCAGCTCAGCCACTTGTAGCTGTGTGATTTGGGGTTAGTCACCTCACTACTTTATAGGTCACCTCTGAAATGAGCTAACTTTTACCTTTCCTCCCTCCAAGTACTGTTAGTAGACTTCAGGAACAAAATAGAAGAGTATTGACAGTCGTAGCATCGCGTGAGGGCGTTGGGCAGTAAGGCCCATTTGGAGACACACGCGCTTGGGATCCTTGCCCACTAGTGTGGGAAGACACCCACCCATGCTACGGGGTCTGAGCAGTTCGGGGTGGGCCTGGGAGATGGCTTTATACTGTCAGGGACCCCTAATCCCTGCAACAACTCCTCTGTCTTCCAGAAGCTAGACGTGGAGGAGCCAGACAGCGCCAATTCATCTTTCTATAGCACACAGTCTGCCCCTGCTTCCCAGGCCAGCCTGCGAGCCACCTCCTCTACCCAGTCTCTAGCACGCCTGGGCTCTCCTGATGATGGTAACTCGGCTCTGCTCAGCCTGCCCGGCTACCGGCCCACCACTCGCAGCTCTACTCGCCGCTCCCAAGCTGGGGTGTCCAGTGGCGCCCCACCAGGTGAGGGAACTGTAGGGATTTAACTACAGCCAGAAATTTGACTGGAACTGGTCCTGGCCCAGAGAAGAGACAAGCTTTTAAAAACCTGGGCTGGCTTCCTGCAAAAACATCCCTCCTCCCTGTAGTCTCAGGGCCTTACCTGTCCTTCTAGGGCTGTGCGAGCTACTTTGAACTTGGGATACTCACATAAAGGGCCTGAGATGCCTGGCATGGAAGTAACACCTGTCAGTTCTCAGCTGGTGATGGGATGCTGGCCAGGCCCCTTGCATGGCTTTCGTTTAGATTCTCTCCCCTCGGTGGGTCAGTAAGACGTAGTACTTTGGTTGGCTGTGACCTCTTCCAACCTCTGCCAGGAGACGTCTATGCGCCCCCGCTGCTGTGCCTGCAGCACGGAAGCAGAGCAGGACTGGTACAAAGCTTAACAGTCCCTGGGTTAGGAGAAAGGCAGGGTCGGCAGCAAAGTCTGGCAAGATCCCAGGGCCAGTGGGCAGCCTGCCAGCTCCAGCCCCATTTCTTCCAATGCCCCTGCCCTCTCCAGGAAGGAACAGCTTCTACATGGGCACTTGCCAGGATGAGCCTGAGCAGCTGGACGACTGGAACCGGATTGCAGAGCTGCAGCAACGCAACCGAGTATGCCCGCCGCACTTGAAGACCTGCTATCCCCTGGAGTCCAGGGTGAGCCCAGCCCCCTCCTCCGGGGCTTCTCCCCTCAGTGCTGAAGGAGCCTGAGCACTAGTGCCTGGGTCTCTGGCCTGCTGAGCAGGGTGACCTCAGCTTTCCAAGTGAAACAGCCAGCAGCTTGGAGAGGAGTCTGCCCGGGACTGCTGGCTGTTCATTCAGGGTGTAGGTAGGCCAGGAAGGGGGGCCCTTTAACGTAGGAAGGGTCCGGCTCCTCCAGGTGTTTGTTAGGCATGAGGAAAGATCTAAGGCAGCTGTTCCTGCTCGTCTCCATACAGCGCGGTGTACTGACTGCTGCTTCCGCCCACACAGCCCTCCCTTGGCCTGGCCACCATCACAGATGAGGAGATGAAAACCGGAGACCCTCGGGAGACCCTGCGCCGAGCCAGCATGCAGCCAGCCCAGATCGCTGAGGGCGCTGGCATCACCACTCGGCAGCAGCGTAAACGGGTGTCCTCAGAGACACACCAGGGTCCTGGCACCCCTGAGGTGGGTGACTGCAGGCGTCTGTTCTGTTTTATCCAGCACAGTGCCCACTCACAAATCTAGAAAGTGGGAAGTTTCTCTCTAAGGGCTGTGGGGGACAGGACTGTGGGGAAGGGGGCCCTTGGCTGAGCTGGGGAGGGAAGCAGGCTGACTGTCAACTGCTCAGCCCAGAGAAGCCAAAGCATGTGGCCTGGGATGTGATGTCTTCTTCCCTATAGTCTAAGAAGGCCACCAGCTGTTTCCCACGCCCTATAACCCCCCGGGACCGACATGAAGGGCGCAAACAGAGCACTACTGAGACCCAGAAGAAAGCAGCTCCAGCTGTTCTCAAGCAGGTTAGGCCAGGGTGGAAGGGGACAATGGAGCCTTCCCGGCAGAGCCCCGGAGCAGCAGGCTGGCCTGGGAGGACAGCAGTAGACTTCCCCCTGACGCCGCCCCCACTCCACAGGCTGACCGGCGCCAGTCAATGGCTTTCAGCATCCTCAACACACCTAAGAAGCTAGGGAACAGTCTTCTTCGGCGAGGAGCCTCAAAGAAGGCCCCAGCCAAGGCCTCCCCCAACACCCGCAGTGGAACTCGCCGCTCTCCGCGCATCGGCACCTCCACCACCAGTGCCGCCACTGCCACTCCTCGGGCCAAGGGCAAGGTAGGCGCACTGGCAGGGAGGGGAAAGGGAAATCCAGTGAAAGCATGGTACCCCCAGATCGCCCATGGGGCAGCATCCAAGGCAGGGCCAAGCCAGGCCGCTGGAAGTGTCCCCTTGTCTGGTTAGCAGCTTGTAATTACTGAAGAGAGGAGACAGGTGACCCCATTCCCTCGGAGAGCATCGAGAGATGCTTAGGCCTGGCCAGCCACTGGCAGCCTGAAGCTAGACGTGTCCGAGGTTCACAAAGGGATCCATCAAGGGGTGCGGAACAAGGCCTAGCTAGCCATGTGACTGTCTCTCGTCTCTTTCAGGCAAAGCACTAAAGGGCCACTACCAGTGATGGCCCCACCTGTGTTCCCAATGCTGACCTCGCCTGGTCCCTTTCCTTCTGTCCCTCTCAGTGCCTTCTCAGCTCTCAGGCCAATGGTGGCCAAACCCCTAGAGACAGTGATGCCTACCCACACCCTGGCCTGGTACCTGGACCTTCACTGGTGCCTTCTCTGGCACGTTCTCAGAGCTGGCCCAGGAGGCTTGGAGCTTGGACTGTATGGGACCCTCTCCCTACCTTGCCTCCTGATCTGATCGTGGAGCTAAGTCACTTCTCCATCATAACCAGATTTGAGGCTGGCTATGAGTGGCTGGATCCTTGGGCCCAGCCAGTCTTCCTCTCAGCCTCTGGATCTAGAAGGGACCACTGGAGGAGCAGGCTCTGGTTCCTGCAGCTGGTGGCTCAGCCTAGCAGAGGCCCTTGCTTTTGAAGGCCAGGACCAGGCATGACCTGGTGTGAGCCCATCCTGCCTCCCTTCCACCCAAGGGCACAGCTGCCCGGAGGATGGCAGGACAGATGGGTCCTGGATCTCGGGGCGGGGGGCAGCCTTCAATAGCAGCTCATACCCCACCTTCCCCAGACCTGCACTGGGGTGGGATCTGGAGTAATGGGAAGGTTTTTAAGGGTCAGGGATGGATCTTTTCTAAAATGTTATTACTTGTAAATAAAGTCTATTTTTCTCCCTGGAGTGTTGAGCTGCTTTGATCTACACAACAGAAGGCGGGAAATGCAGGCTCTTTTAAGCCTACCTTTGTCCCCAAGGAGTATTCAGACCACCTTGCTGCTCTCATCCTTTGGGGGACCGTTTTCCCTGGGATCTTCCCATAACCCATTTCTAGCTCAGTTTCTGAGAACTGTGGGCTGGTATTTTCTTTTTTTGAGGACCCAAGTTCCCCTGAGTCTGGTTTGTCTTTGGCTCTTAAGTGGCAATCTCTGTACCATCCTCCCTCCTGGGAGGGGCACGGTTCCTGTGAGTGGAATGAGGCCTAAATGACTGAGCAAATACCCAGGTGCCTCCATCAAATCCTTTTATGAGGCCCCACTGCAGGCCCTACTGAGAACGACAGACACCGTGGGGATCAGAAACAGCCACTCGGTGAGGAAAATGTAGTGTGCGTCAGTGCAGAGGGTGGACGTCTCTTCCGCCTTCAGGGTCCTCCTGTTGGGATGGTGAAGAGGGGACCATGTGAACAAAGGCATCAGTGCAGAGGGTGGACATCTCTTCCGCCTTCAGGGTCCTTCTGTTGGGATGGTGAGGAAGAGGGGACCATGTGAACAAAGGGGAGCTGTCCAGGAATAAGGGGCCTTGTAGGCCTTGCAGACCTGTGGGAAGTCATGGTGGGAATACGGGTGGGGCCTGTGTGTGCTGGGCTAGGGCACTGACAGGTCTCGAGGTTTCTGAGCAGGACAGCAAAGGGACAGGTAGAGGACAGTTAACGTGGTTTTTCTAGGCAGATGGAAAGGGGCTGCTCGCCTGCACAGCCTGCCACTGTTGGAGACTGGCCCCTGGAGGCAGGCCCCGGGCTCTGCTCGGGGTCGTACTGTTGCTGGCCTGTGCCGACTCCTGACCCTGCTGATGTGGGTGGCAGGGACCCTGGGCTGTGGCAGGAAGGCAGGGCTTGTTGAGAGCAGGTTGGTCTTCAGCCCATCTTGGGGAAGTGGAGGCAGATAGGATTCAGAGCTGAGTGGAGGGACATCTGGTCACCTTTCTGCAGGCCGTGCTCCCCTGCCAGTGCCCAGTTCCTTTTCGCTTACACTTCAGGGTGGCCTTGGGCAGTGGTGGGCATCAGCTTATTGGCTTCCCTGGCAGCATCCACCCTTTCCTCCCACATAGAGGCAGAGCTCCTCCCGTCCCTGGAGGCCTCCCCTTCTTCCTCACCCAGAGCTGGGCCGGGAGAATGTGATGCTGGACAACCTGTCCGGGGTCCACGAACACACAGGAGAAGTTGGTGCTTCGAAGGGCAGGGCTCAGCTCCTCCAGCACTAGGGCCTTCCAAAGCCAGGTTCCTGTGCTCCCGCGGCCCTGCTCATGGCTGCAGCAGGAAAGGAAAGGTGGTGAGAGCTGCAGGGCGAGGCCTCCCTCCAGCTCTGGTCTGCTGCGCCCCTCACCTGGTGCTGCACTCCCTCAGCCGGCCGGGGAGGTGCTCGATGAAGGAGCCATTGCCCAGCCAATAGAGGATGCTGAAGTGAGAGAAGCGGCTGCAGGCCATACAGGACAAGGTCAGCGTTCCATCTAGGGACACACTGCTGTTAGCTCTCCTCTAGAACAGGCCCACCCTGCTGCCCTGCTCACCCACCACAGCCTGCAGTACCATGGGGCACTCCACTTGAGCAGGAGTCTGTTAAAGGGAAAGTACAGAGGCCTGAGGCCTAGGGCCTGCACACAGGGAATGTGGGGAAAGGGCCTCGCTTCATGTGGTGGTTCAGCTTCTGAGCCTTTTCCTCCAGATAACCTTTCCTAGTGCTCGGCCTGATTCTACAAGCCCAGCTCAAAGGGAGCCTGATGCTCCCAAGATGGCCAGAGACAGGCAGGCCCTAGGCAGAGGGCTGACCTTTGAGAACAGTGCCGCTGAGGCCCTCGGATGTCTGTGATCACCTCTCCTGTCTGAGTCTCCTTTGACGGGAACCATCTTGGGAGCTGGGTCCTGACCTCATACCCATGACACTGGGTTGAAGGGAGCTCAGCGAGTGCTCAGCCACCTGGCCCAGGGCTGATGCACAGATGGTAGGAGGTGCACGTCAGAGTCAACCCACCCCCAACCTGTCCTGGGCTCCCATCGTAATTGCTCCTTACTTAGTGGCACTTCCACCTCTGGCCAGGTCACCTGCAGTGCTGGGCACGGCTCAGCTGTTGGGAGTGCCAAGGGTGAGGAAGGGCAGGGGTCCTTTGAGATCCCGGCTGAGGCAGTGGCCACTGTGATGGTCTGACATGTAGGTGCGGCTCTGGCCAGGAGAGTGACGGTGTGGGAACACAGAAGCAGGACCCACCAAGAGGAGGAGTCTGAGGAAAGGACAGTCACAGAGGTCAGCAGGTGACTGAGTCGCCTGGTAATGCTCATATCTCAACTCCTATCTTGAGCAAAGAGTGTCAATGCCTAATTAACAGTCTAAGTCCAAGCCAGCATGGTAGCGCACGCCTGTAATCCCAGTGCTTGGGAGGCTGCAACAGGAGGATCACTGCAAGTTCGAGACCAGCCTGGGCTACAAAGTGAGCTCAAGTCCAGCCTGAACTGCACAGGGAGACCCTGTCTCCAAAAGACAAAAAAAAAAAATTAATTCCAGCCCAGAGATTCTTGGGCTCTGGACAGGAATCAGAGGCCTCTGAGCCCTGACCCTTCAGCCTTCTGAGCAGAGGACAGAGAAGCTGGGAAGGGAACCGGTGGAGGCTTCACAGGGCAGGGCTCGGCCCCCCGATCCCCGGCACAGATGGTACCTGTGCTCTGTTAGAGCAGAGGGGGTTACAGCAGTGAGAGGCCGGACGCACAGCACACTGTCAAGCTCAGCAGAGTGAAGACAGAGCTACCCTATCACTCCACTCTTCAGACCCCACACCACCCCACCCACGCACAGCCCCGCGTCCTACCTGGTGTCCTGTTCTGCCCCATGGTCTTGATGCCTGTGTCAGCAGCTGGCAAGCCCGGCTCTATATATCTGTGACTTGACTTCCTCTCAGCCAGAGAAAGGGGGAAGTCAACTACTACCCCATTTTCCCAGAGGTCTGAACACTCAGTGGCTGTCAGGCACTTCTGTTTATTTTGCCTGCATGTCACACCACGTCCCGAGCACAGGCCTCCAGCACAGGCCAGAACAACAGCTTCCCACACCCCAGGGCTTATTAGTTCAGTGGTTGCCTCGCCCAGTCTGACCACTTCATCAGCGATGGGAAAAGGCCCAAGGGAGGGCCAGGGACTTACCTGACTACACAAGCAGGTGAGGCTCTCTCCACTGTACTGAGCTCCTTCTGGGAAGGGCGGGATGCAGCAAATGCCTTCTGGGGAAGTACTGCTCACTTCCCATTTCACCATTTTCACTTTTATCTTTCTTTTACCTCCCCTGCCATACTGGGGATCGAGCCCAGGGTCTCACACATTAGGCAAGCACTCTACCATCAAGCTACATCTCCAGCCCTCACTTTTCGTTTTAGAACAGGAGCTCACTAAGTTGAGATACAGCCCTAGCCCTCAGTTTTTAAGTTTTGGGACAGGATCTTAGGCTGGCGTCAAACTTGCAATCCCCCTGCTTCAGCCTCTGGAGTAGCAGGGATTGCAGGCTTGTGTCACCATACTGGGCTCACTTTCACTTTTGCTTTAACCAGGGAATTCAGAGCAGGCACTGACAGGACGGCTGCTGCATCTTCTTCAGTTCATGCTCACAGTGGCCAGGAGCCATCCTGTTCATTCCCAGGCCCCTCAGCTCCGCATACCAAACGGGGTGGGATCTCTCACCCCACCCCTCGGGCACCTAGAGGATGAACTAGGTGAGTCAGTCAAAGATCAGTTTTCGCTTGGCCAAGGATCAGGACTGACACCCCCTCCAGTCTTTAGAGCCGCACCTTGTTTCCCTGTGAGCACATTCACACTGATAGTCAAGCGGATGGCATTCCTAGGCACTGGGACCCAGCGCTCCATCACTGTGACCATTTGAGGCTGTGCCACATCAGCCATCGATACCCTCAGACTCCCTACTCCTTCCAGCCCCAAGACCCAAAATAAGCTGCATCACCAGCAGCCACCATCACACCCACAAGCACTGCTCTTTCCTGGTTGGGCTAGAGCTATAGGTCTAGGGTCACCAGCAGGTCCTGACCCCAAGTCCTAGCTCCCAAGAGACCCTATAGAGCCCTATTTTTCAGAAGCTCCTTCTGGGGGCTTTCAGTGCAGCCGTGACCAGCCCTGTGTGCCACCCCATTCGCAGGACCCGAAGCTGAAAGCTGGCCCTAAAAGTGTAGAAGGAGCTACTGAGAGACGAGACAGCGGGCCCGCACCGGCTCCAGGCCCGCACAGGCCGCCTAAGTGCACCAATCTGGTCCCCAAGGGAACAGAACTAGGGCTGCTCTGCAAGGGCCAGGACCAGGCAGGCTCACTCTCAGGGCTGGTCAGTATCTGGGGACAAGAGCTGTGCGTCTGGTTTGCGATTTTTGTTATCAGGAGGGCAGGGCTGATGATGAGAGCCAGGGAGGCCAGGAGATGGACCAGGCTTGAAGGGTACATTAAAAATTTAGACACAAGAGTGTGAAAGTGCCATTCTGCGCTCTAGGTGTCTAGCTCACATTCCTGGTCCTCTCAGTTCCTCCCTTACCTCCCACCCCACAGGCTCCCAGGCTGAAGGGGAAACTCCCTAGGAACCCCAGCATTTCCAGCAGTGAGGTCCAGAAGCAAGGCAAGGGTTTCCGCGACAGCGCCCTGAGGGGTGGGTGGGTGGCAGGGAAAGGGCCCAGGACGGCCATGGAGCGCAGCCCAGGCCCGTGCAGGGCTGTGCATTTGGGTCTGCTATGCATGAACGCCCCGGCCTCGGCTTCTCACAGGTTTCACGTGGGATGTGGAGACAGAAGTGAAAGAAGGGTGATCTCTAGGCCCTTTGACCAGTCCTGATTCTCCTCCCTGAGGACAGCCCACAGGTGGCAAGAGCAGTGCAGTACCTCGGGCAGGGAACCTGTGGCAGAGAATGGCACTGACCCGGTGGTGCCGCCCGGAGCTCCTTGTCCCTGGCCTCCCCCGCTCCCCGGAGTGCTGGAAGGGAGTGACAGTAATAGTGGTGGCGGCGGCCGCCAGGCCCCGGTCCTTAGGTGCGGGCAGCAGAACCAAGACAGCCCTGGGGACCCCAAAGAAAGAGGTGGAAAGAAGAGAAGCGAAATAGCGTTCAGCTTTCCAACCCAGCTCATGGAGCTTTATTCGGACAAGTGACGAGACCCTGCTGGCTTCTCACTGGCCTCCAAGCGGGAGCCCTGCTGGGCCCAATGCCCTAGAAACCCAGTGCCCACAGCCCTCCCACTCTCTTCAGAACGCCCAGGACAAGGCTGAGGCCCGCCTGGAAGCCCCTTTTCAGAACCTATACTTGAGACCTAGGGCCTTCTTCCCACCCACCTACCCTTCCCGGCGAGGTGCAGGAGGAGCCTAGGAATGAAGAAGCTCGCGCAGAGGTCACCGGGCTGGGAATCCCCTGCTCGCTTCCAGGGCAAAGTCACTGTCTGCTGACTGGAGAAACAGACTGTGACAGCTAGTCCTGCCATCCGTGCATGTGCGCGTGCGCACTCACACACACGAACACACTCCCCCTTGGGCTTTCAGGAAGGAAGTGATACATAGAGTGGCCTTTGGCACATCATCACTTTCAAGCCAAAGGATTAGTTTGCACAACAGACTCTGTCATTGCTGCTAAAGGTTGTCCCCTCAGCCCAAATATGTATAGATAGCCTCTATTTCTGGCTGACCTCAGCCCTGCTCAGGGGCAGATTCTCCACGTTGCTGATTCTTCCCGTTGTCCCACACACACCGAGGCCCCAGGACTGCCCTTGTTGAGGACGTCACTGATGAAGCTTCCAATGCCTCACCCAGCCCTTAGCTCCTGGCCAATGTCTCCTGAGGAGCCAGACGCAAACAGAGCACTCATCCTACACCCCAGAGGGGCAGGAGGGAAGACACCTCACCCCTCAGTGCTCCTCTCTGCCACCAGTCTAAGCTCTTCAGCTCTTCCACACTGAGTGGCCCCAGCTCGAGCCCCGCAGACGGAAAGGAAGTGGGGTGGGTGTACTGAGGCCCTCCGCTACCTGAGAATCCACCAATGCTCTCAACCAAAGGTGCGAAGGCTCCTCTAAACCAAAACTGTCAAGGCTCTACTCCCAGCCTGCTCAGGCAGGGCGAAGCCTGGAGGGGGCAACTCCTGTGTTCCACAATAAAAAAAAGGTTTTTTAAATATATTCATCAAAATAGTTTTCTTTTAAAAAGCCCCCCCACTGCTGACAGCCCCACTGGCTGGCTCTCCATCATATCCCTCCCCAGGCCAGACACAGCCGGGGGGTCCTGAGTGGCCCAAGCACCCTTTTGAGTCTTTCCCACCCGGGTCTTTGTGGGCAGCGGGGAGAGCGCCCTGAGGTCCATAGTGGGCAGGGTGGGTTCTCCACTGATGCAACTTCCCGACTATTCCAGGCCCAGGATGTAGTTGATGCCCTGCACCAGGCCAATGATGACAGGCTGCCAGGCTACCAAGTATCGAAGCCAATCCAGCAGCTGCCCATACATGACGTGAGGCCTCTCCCAGCTGTCAGGGTGTTAAGGATCAGAGGCCATGTGCAAGAGCTGCTGAGTTTGTCTAGCACTGGGGCGGGGGTTCCCAGGCCCTCCTGGGTCTGCCCACACTCTCTGGAAGCTCAAAAGCCCACAGGAGAGACGGTGACCCAGCCTCTCTGCAGCAGTCCATGTGGGGTGAAGGGCTGGGCCCGGAGAACGGGGGAAGGCAGACAGAGGCACCGCTACGACAGACAGGAAGGACACGAGAGGGGAAAGAGCTGTGACCAGCACACAGAGGGCCTCACGTGACACTTTCTCTAAGATAGGCCACCAGCTGTGAGACGACGCAGCTTGGGATTTAGATTCCCTATAAATGTGCCCAGGACAAGGGCTGCGAGGAGGCAGAGGGGAATGAGGTAGCCCTGAAGGTTCTTACGTCCAGAACTGAGGCTTTTCTGTCTAGAAAGGGGTTGATGTCCTCAGAACCAAAAGGCAGCAGGGACAAAGGGGCTTGATCACAAGGGGTCGCCTGGCAAAGGCTCTGAGGCGGCCCCTCCAGAGTACTGAGCGCCAGGTCCTACTGCGGCCAAGCGGCCCTGGGCAGCGACATATACCTAAATGCTGGGCAAGGGTCTGGAGGGGGTCCTGGGGGTGCCATCTCTGAGAGCTCAGCGACAAGCCCCTGAAGCCGTGAGAGACCCTTTCAGGGCATCAGAAAGCTCAGCCTGGCCCAGTTCTCTGAGAGCTAACGGAAGCCCAAGCCTCAGGGTGGCCATGGAATTACAGCTGTCCTTGAATGAGGCCCTCAAAGGAATGAAGCAGGAAAGCCGAAAGTGCAGAAGCCAGAATGCCCTGTTCAGGGTGTGGAGAGTACTGGGAACACCAGTCCCCTGTGCAGCCCAGCTAGTGTATGGAAAAAAGGAGGACAGGAACTGCGGAGAAAGGGCAGCTTGGAAAGAAGACGGGAGAACGCTGGGTCCTGGGCCTCGTGGGAAGTGAAGGTGGGGCCAGAGAAGTGGTGGGCACACACACAGGAGCAAGAGAATGGCATGGGCTGGCTGGGCAGGAAGCAGTGGCTCAGAGGAGCACAGCTCTGCACTGAAAGTGGATGGGGATGGGGGTCCCTCAGCTACGCCCAAGCCTCGCAGGGCCTGCCCGCGCAGAGCTGATCCCTAGCTGCCTGTCACGGTAACAGAGCACGCCTTAGTTAAGTAACCTTACGTAAGCTTCCCAACCTCTAAACTGTTAAATTTGTAAAGTGAGGGTATTATCCAGGTCCTAAAGCTGCCAGGGAACTGAATGAGCGCATGTCAGTGAAGTACTTAACACAGCGCCAGCCACACACAGGGAGCGAAGAGTAAACAGCAGCTGCTACCGCTATCAACCTGCGACCGAAAGCTGAGCTGCCTGTCCTCACCGCGTCACACCCACATTTCCCCAGAACAGACGCCAAATTGAAAGCAGGTGTGCTCCAGGCTGGAAGTAAGAGAGGCCCCGAGAGCCCCAGACACAGGTCACACTGGCCAGTCGCTTCTTCCCACCGCCCACTCCCAACAACAACCCGGGCAAAGGATACGGATTGCTAAACATCCTCTTCAGGTCCACCTTCTCTTTGCAGTAGGGACACGTCTGCTTCTTTCCCACAATGCACCAGCCACGGATACAGAACTCGTGGAATCTGAGCACCACGCGTCAAGGGAAATGGTGGGAAGTGAGGATGCAGCCCCGTCCCCACGCCGATCCACGAGGTGCTTGTGGGCCAGTTCTGGAGAAAGGTCAAATCCTGGCTTCATTTCTTACCAACCTTGTAATTTTGGGCGAATCCTTTTCTCAGAACCTGTTTCTTCACATGTAGAGTGAGAACAATGACTGCACATTATAGGGTTGTTAACAGGGCAAAATGGAGACAGCACATCGATCTCCCAATGCAGGCATGGCATGGGAGCTGAGAGATACATGATAAATTTTGGAAGCATTACTCAGGGGCTTGACTCTAAACTGAGGGAATCCATTAGAGAATCCTCTTTCCTTGTGACACCCACTCTTGGGTTAGCTAGCACAGCCTCACCAGCTGCAGCCTCAGGCTCTCTTTGGCCTAGGTCATCTATAGCCACTATCTATACATGAGGGCTCCAGCTGTGAGAATGGGTGCGGAAGGCTGTATTTGCTGCCCTTGTGCTGCCCTTTTGCCCAAAAATGGATGGCACGCCTAGGGTCGCAACCAACTCCTTCCCTCCCTGATCAGAGCTGGCCACAGGAGAAATGTGGCCAAGGTGCTGAAAGCAGGATACACATGATTGCAGGACAGCCTGTAGGTGTTCTCGATGATGCCCTCCTCACTGACGTCCACGAAGATCTGCTGTCCACACACAGCGCACACGCTGTCAGAGAGGTGTTTGGTAGGCATGCCCGACTCACTGTAGAACTAGAGAAAAACAGAAGGGAAAGACAAGGAAAGCTGTGAGAACTGCTCAAGTGGGAAGGCATCAGAGAGGATACTCAGTGGCAGGGGGGTTAGAGGACATCTTTCACAAGACCAATGAAATTCATCTTTACTGGGTGGTGGGGGAAAAAGGGACAGGCCAGAAATAAGCTGGGAAGGTAGATGTACAGGATCTGAAGTCTGGGCTGGGTCAGCCCAGGTACAAGAGGTAAGAAGGGAGAACTCCTCAGATCCAAGGATCAGGAGCTGTGTCAGCTAAGCCATTCTGTGGTCTACGGTTCCATCAGACATGGACAACATCATCCTCTGACATTTAAAACAGTGAAACCCTAGATATGACGTTGGTCTGGTGACAAGGGCATTTTCAAACACTTGTGGCAGCAGCAGAGGAAGTTCAACCTTTCTGGATAACAGCTGGCAGGATGTCTCAACTATTATACCCTGTAACTCATTAATCTCACTTCAAAGAATTTTAAAAAGTAAATAGAAATGTAAAAAACCCTTTCTGTACACATATTCATTTAACCATTACTTATAATTAAAGAAACAAAGGGTTTGGCATTTCCTCTAAAAGTTAAACAGAATTATCACATCTTAGGTTGGTTTGTTTGTTTATTTATTTATTTTTGTCTTTCTGAGATAGGGTCTCGCTATGCAGTTCAGGATGGCCTTGAGCTCACTTTGTAGCCCAGACTGGTTTTGAACTCCTAATGATCCTCCTGCCTCAGCCTCTCAAGCGCTGGGATTACACATGTGTGCCACTACGCCCAGCTCTCATATGCTAGGTTTATACCAAAAAGATGTGAAAACAAGAACAGATACATAAATGCCAATGTCAATAGTAACTTAATGGTAGAGTGCTTGTCTATCATGAACCAGGCCCAGTACTATGAACAACAAAAAGCCAGGAGCAAGGTGCTAGATTTAACAACTAGCACTACAAAAACAAAATAAGCAAGCAAGCTAAAATCACTGGGCCAGGGATATAGCTCAGTGGCACAGCACCTCCCTGGCAAGCACAAGGTCCTGAGTTTGATTCCTGTACCTAAAAAAAAAAAAAAAAAAAAAGGAATTGGGTCTCAGATAAAAAAATTAAGTATTAAAAGTAGGGTATAAAACTGGGTGCACAGTGATCAGTATGATACATAAAGATGAGGCCAAACCTGTACAAAGAAAAGATCAGAAAGAACTATGTCAGAATTTTTACAGTAGTGATGTTTTCTTTTTGAGACAGGGTCTTGCTATGACCTGGCCTTGGACTCACTCTGTAACCCAGGCTGGCCTCAAACTTGGTGATCCTCCTGCCTCAGCCTCCCAAAGAACTGGGATTACAGTCGTGTTCCACCATGCCCAGCTATAATGATTTTTTTTCTTTTAGACAGGTATTGCTATGTAGTTCAGGTTGACCCTTGAACTCACTATGTAGCCCAGGCTGGCCTCAAACCTGCAAAACTTCTCTTGCCTGAGCATCCTAAATGCTAGAATTATAGGTGTGTAACCTAGCACACCTGGCTTATAACGAATTTTTTAAAAAGCTGCCTGCACCTTACAATTTTGCTGTACCTGTAAGGCAGACTACCTATATTTAGTCCTTTTCCATTTTCTTAATTTGGGTTTGCTATGGGTATATTTGTGTGTGTGTGTGTGTGTGTGTGTGTGTGTGGTGACTTGTTTGTTTAGTTTTGTTTCTAAGCAAAACCCTTCTCTAAAAAAGCTAGAGCTGAAGTTGGTTCAAAACTGGGGACAGGGCCGGGATATAGCTCAGCGGCACAAGCACCTGCTAGGCAAGCACAAGGTCCTGAGTTCGATTCCCAGTACCAAAAAAAAAATACAATCTCTAAAACTGGGGACAGCAGTGAAGGAGGAGAGCACAGACTCGGGACTAGGAGCAGGGAGTAAAACCGGGAGCCCCAGAGCAGACACAGCTGCACCTGCCAGAGCCTCCCCTCCTCCCACCAAGCTGCCCTTCAGAGGAGTGGCTTCTCAGCCATCAGAATGCTCCCCAGGGGCTGGGGATTTAGCTCAGCGGCACAGCACCTGCCTGGCAAGCGCAAGGTTGTGAGTTCGGTTCCTAGTACCAGGGAAAAAAAAAAAAAAAAAAAAAAAAAAAAAAAAAAAAAAAACGCTCCCCAGGGGGCTGAGTCCAGCCTCGCTCCCCTATTGTAAGACCCCATCATCATGGCCCCTCTCGAGTAACATCTGCCTTACCCTTCTTAAATAACAAGCAAAAACAAACAAGCAGGCCACAGTGGTGCATGTGTGTAATCCCAGCCCACAGGGCGTAAGACAGGAGAATTGCAAGTTTGAGGCCACACACAGAAACAAAAATCATGCACAGAAACAGTAATTGCTGCCTGATTCCAAGAGTCCTCAAGAGTAGAAGGCAGAGATGCCAGACTGGCCTGAAATGTCACAAATAGAGCTTTCTGCCTTTACGCGCTTGAAAAACCATAAGGAGCTCAAAGTGAGCTCACTTACTATGACAGCACAAGAGAGAGTCACTCTAGCATTGGGAATACCAAAGCCCAGAAAAGGAAAGAACCCTGACGCTGACTCCAGCCCAAGTCCTACCCACCAGCCCACCAGCCAAGACTCTCCACAAACACTTGCTGAAGCTGCAGAAATCAGCCACTCTGCTCCCTGAAAGCCAGTGAGCCACAGGGTTCTGATTTGTTTCACAAAAGTGCAAAAGGCTATTGAAAAAGATAGCTAGACTCAGAAGGAGGGGCCCAGACCTGTGGACACTACACACAGTACCTTTCCTGAGCCAGAATCCGCGTGACAGCCTTGCAGATCCGTCACTACAAAGTTCAACAGACTGAAGGCCCTGTCCCCCATCCCCTGGGCAGTGAAGTGACAGAGCTCATTTACTCCTCAAGAAACGCTCACTACCATCAGCTAAGAATGGAAGCTGTGACTGTCCCAAGGGAAGAGCAAGTCCTGGCGCGGGAATGTGACAGGGGCTCAGCTGCGCTGCTTGCAGATACACTTGCTTGCACTTACTGGGTGAATAAATGGGTAAATGGGGTGTGGAGAGAAAGGTTAAAGAAAGGCTTTTCTGGATTGTGTTCTGGCTTAGAGTTCCTAGGTCCATCAACTGAACAGACAGAAGGGTCTGGGTCTGGCTCTGGCTCTGGCTCTGGATATGCGGATAATCCTGAAGCACAGGGGCAGGGGCTCCCGCTCTGGCCCATGGCTCGGCAGTGAAAAGATTAGGAACACCCCAGCTCAGGAGGTGGGTTGGAGCAGAGTAAAGCTTTGCCTCCTTTCCTGCCAGTTCTGCCCCTGGGACACTGGGACAAAGGATGCAAGATCAGAGGTGACTTGGATAAAGCAATGAAAATGTTTGTTTGGACTCTGGTTTCCAGAATCACCCCCGCCCAAGGCCAATGTGGCAAAAGACAAGCGGGGCTGAACCCCACACGATCATAGCTCAGCCTGCCAGGTCAGTGAGTCCCCTGCAGCCCCACGGCCCCCAAAACCACACAGGAAGGCCTGAATCAAGAGGCACTGAGGTCAAATCAGGCAAAGTAAAGGGCGGCAGATGTCTTTTAATTCAAGAGCCTGATCCTTCATAGAAAGGGTTTAAGGGTCCACATGGTGAACCAGAATTAGATCTCACTGCAACCATCTGTGACTTACTATCTCGGTGACCTTGTGTAAGCCACCTAAACTCTTCCCTTCACTAAAATTTATTGGACACCTACAAAGTGCCAGCCACTGGACTAAGTTCTGGGATATAACACTGGAAAAGCAGGCTGGGCTCCATCCTCACGGAACCTACAGCTAGAAGGGACTAACATTTAAAAAATAAATGTTTAACCAAGGAATGGTAGCACACGCCTGTAACTGGAGCACTCTGGGAGGCTGAGGTAGGAGGACTGCAAGTTCAAGCCTAGCCTGGGCAACCCAGCACCTGAAGAAAGGAGCAATTGATCCAAATTTGCTAAGAGCCATTGAGAAGATCCTGGAGGATCACTATCAGAATCACTAGAGACTGGAGCAGGACTCACCCAGACACAAGGTAAACAGAGGTCAGATTAGAATGGGTGAGGAGTGCATCAAAGGTGAGTGAAAAGGACACAGGAATTTTCTGGAAGTTTAGCTGTGAACGATAGGAAATAGGTCAGGAGCTAGAAGAAAAGGTACGTCAAGAAAACGTCTTACAATAAGAACAATGTTTAAAACCTTAATGGGAAAAGCGCAGTAGAGATCAGAGAGATAAAGAAACTTGCTTGAGAGTACACAGCTAATTAAAAGTAGGGAAGAATTGGAAGCCAGGTCTGTCTGACTCCAAACTCCCAGCCTTTCTATGGCTTCAAGTACAGAACATGAGTAGGCAGCTAATCCTGTCCTGATGGTACCCGCCGCCTCTGAGGACCCAGGAGGAAAACCTGGGGCACGGCACTGCTCTGAAGATGAAAGTGTGAGGCAGAATGCACGACCAATGGGGCACGAAGAGTGCACCACTGCCTGCCCTCCCGGTAACCGTGTGGTACCACGGACAGTGTAAATGGCTGAGATGCTTCTTCTGAGTGCAAACCTAACCCGCCTTTCCTCCTCCTTACCTCGGCATGTCCCTTCTTCTTTTTCCCCGAAGAGTCCCCCAGAAAAGAGGCTTATTTCCTAACCCTTCACCTGCATCCCAGCATGACTTACGGTATGAGTGGGGGCTACAATGACCGTCACAAGCTTGTGATCTCACAGTGACCAGTCCCCATCAAAGGTCCCTTGACTCAATGTAAAAAGGGTTATTCTGGTAACTCACTTCCCCATGTAAGGCAAAACAGAACCTTAAATAGGGTAATGTAGAACAGTAAAAAGGAATTGAGAATGCTTATTAATACAATTATACAACCATGGTTTCATTTCTAGAAATCCTGAAATGAATGAATCACAAGGCTCTCTTCAAGTCACACTGCTCTCAGAGGCATGCTGACGGCCAACAGATAACCCAAATCTGGTCCCTGACCCTGACTGAG